TCTTCCAAACTAACATCCATTCTTTATTGAAATTGGAAATTAGGAACAGTAGGAGGAAAAACATGAATGAAAGTAGGCGGAGAACATGCACACGCACACACACACCACACACACAATGGTTTTGTTGGATTTCACTTAGCCTTAGGAAAAGAATGGGGAAATGTTTATAATTATAACCTCCAAGCATCCTTTCCAAAATCCTTCCAAAATATTCTCTGCTTTTTTGCTACTGTTTTGCTTTTTGCACTGCATGATGGCATGCTTTTTTTTTGTGCCTGCTTAGCAACCAGTCTCTTTGTGTATAAGCTAAAATTGATTTTCTCAGTCTGCCTGCCTTTGTCTTTTGTGTGTTGAAGCCTAGATTTCCTTTCAGTTTTTGAATCAATAGTTTTTGAAACAATAGTTCAGACAACCTGTTATCTGTCTGCTTACCGGTAATTTTAATAACTTTCATGTATAGCACTGTATGCAGCTGGCTGCCAAATCTTTGATCAGGCCATAGGTTCTTAGTGGTCTTAGGAACATGAAACCCCTAGCATACTAGAATTTCTGGGACATTCACTGCCTCTAGAAAACAAGCAGGCACTGGGCAACATCTTCTCCTGGGTTCTTTCTTCCCTTTCCCTGACAGCTAAGGAGGTACTCTGCAAGGAACAGCTGGAAGAAAGAGACATTCACTTCTTCCTATTTGGACCAATAATTAAAAGGCCACCACTCAATCTACATCATCATCCCATCTTTTTAGGCCACCTGGGCTTCCTTGAACAAAGTGACATGGGCACCTAATAGTCTCCTGGGAACTACCATTAGGCAAAGTAAGTGTCAGCTCCAGAAGTGAATCTGTCAGAAATATGAGGGGATATGGGGATATAAACATATTTTGACATGGAGAAATAAAAGGATAATGAAATAGTGATATGGGGAAGTGAAGAGGAATTGTAATCCAAATAAAATGCAAACCAGGGAACAGATGGGGCTATAGATGGGGCAATTAGTAACTTTATGACCCTGTTTCCTCGGACAAGACTTTGATGACCAAATGGGCGACATCTTCTTTCCTGGTTTAGATAGATTGATATTGGTGATGAGGAAAAGGAGAGAGTTTAAAGAGCCTTTTAATGTGCTCCAAAGCTCCAGAATCACAGGCTGAGGAAGGAGGGATTGGAGGGGAGGGAAATCCGTAAACAATGAATTGTTTCGGGAAAACTCAGATCTGATACTACCAAGTCTGTGGTGCATCTCTGTCTAAAGAATCCATAATACAGCTATAGTATTTCTATCACTATTATGATATCCTGCTTCTTGAAGTTTGGATTTGCTAAACATGACAGTAAGTTTCATGGGATAAGCAAAAGTATTCCCTTACCTGTTCTTCCTGAGCTTCCCAACTGCTCCATCCTCTAAACTGGCTTGCTGTCTCACTCAGCTGCGGTAGAGAATGCTATCACATCACCATTATTGAATTAAACATCAACAGTCAGTCTAATTAAGGTTCTTGTATGGGAAGGAATGTTATTTTGTCCTACCCCTCAGGCAGATCATGTCTTGATCTGGCTCTGATAGCATCCCAAACTACTAGATCAGGGGTAGGAATAACACAGCCCTCTAGTTGTTATTGGGTTCTAATTCCCAGCATTCATTAACACTAAATGAGACAGCTAGGTCTGCTAGGACTTCCAGTTCAACACCACCTAAAAAGCTGTCTGATTCCCCACCCCACTGGATTCCTTAATTTTTGGGTTGGCAATGTGGCCTATGGGCCACATGCAGCCCTTGAGCGTCCCCAAGCACTCAAACCCACCACATCCCCATAATTTTTAAAGCTGATTTTTGGGTAATTTTGAATCCCCAAACCACCCCAAATCTCCCAAAACTGCGTAAAAAGACAACAGTTTGCTCTCATAACCCCTCACTTTCCCAAATCAGCTGAAGAGAAAAATCAGCTGAAAATTGGCCAACATAGCGGCTATAAATAACATCATGCCACTTTGGGCATGCTGAAATATGCCATTTCAGCCTGCCAGGCAGGCATAGAAAAGAAAAATGGTCCCTGCTCTGTTTGCAATTGCCCACTCCCACTTTAAATCATTGAGCCATGTGGAACTCATCACTTAACATTCAATCAACTAGTTTCAGTATCTTCCACAATATTCCACAGTGGCCAATCTAGTACCCATGGCAAGCCCACAGAGCATAAAGACCCTCCCTTTGGGGTTTCCTAGCAAATGGCAGTCAGTGCTATACTGTCTCCAATACTGTTGGTAGTATTCCACATTAATGTGTCTAATTAACTTTTAAACCTGACCAAGCTAACAGTGTTAACTTTGCTTTGCAGGAGTGAATTTCATATTTCAACCATGCAAGTAAAAAGAATGTCCAAACATGAGGCACTGGAGAGTCTGGTTTGCATCCAATTCACTGTCTGATCATGGGAATAACTGTGTGAGAGAGCAGTGTCTGACATCTCACTGTTCTCCAGATCTCCCCCTAGCATAATGTATCATGTAACTGGTGAAGTGGGAACTTGACAAAAAGAAGAGTCAGAATGGCTAGTGTGGAAACAAACAGAATAAGGCTATCAGAAACAGAATGATAATGCAAAAGGTATTGGGCAAGACAGTCTGGAATCTAAACCAGGCTTTCCAGAAGCGGCTGCTGCTACTATTATGATTTTGGTATTCTTGCTGAGAGACTATAGGATTCCAACTGCTGAAACTGATATAACCTGAGCAAGTATTACTAAAATAATTATTTTTCAATTGCCTAGATATTGTATTGTTCACTATATAAATTAACCATTATACTTTTAGGCTGTTTAATTTAATAGAACATTATACAGATATTTCTGCAGCACACATTTTAAATCTAATTCCCAGTGTCCTCTATAGTCTTTGGATCTTGCCCGTGTGAGATATGGATAAGCACACTGAATGGAGCATTTAGGCTGGAAAGAAAATCTAAGCTTCCCCTCCCCTATTTGTTCTTCATTATATTAAAGTCTATCCTTATCTTTCAGTGTTACTGAATTTGGTGGCCTTGTTTGGTGTCTCAACATCCTTTTCAGTTTAACATTTTAACGAAAGTCATTCTTTAAAAAGATGTTCTTTACACTGACATTACAAATAAATGATAAACTATACTTCAGCCCTATTAAAACATAACAATCTATTAATAAGTCACTTGCCCTTGCTCTTCTGTTTCTAGTTGCACAGTTGAGGTAAATTTAATAGGTTCATTATGACTGAAGAGTTTGCATACTAAAGAGTTTGTTGAAATAAAAAGCAGGCTTTTAAATTAAAATCAATTATATTTTAATGGTTAAAAAGCTGTTTTGAATGCAAGACATAACTTAAATATGAAAATGAATGTGCATTTTAGGTGGCTAGTGCTAATTTCTGTACTGTAATAGCCTGCAAATTATATTTCAAAACCATAAACCAGAGGATGTAAGATTGCTTCATACCAAAGCTATCTGTGTGCTGTTCTTTTGCAGAGAGAGAAAAAGTTGCAAAGGAAAATGACAATCATGACATTTTATGTTCTATACTTTCTTTGATATATGTTAACTATCAGGAGAAAGATTTTACAGCAGTAGGCCTCCCGACCTCGGAATAGGTAATTAATTGCACCTTTAAACAGGGTTTTTAAAAAAATAAAATTTTCTCTAAGCATTGTATGTCTGGCACTGAAACTGTGGTTATGGTTTTTTCCATAAAAAAGCTTCATCAGAAAGAACTTGAGCCAGTTTTGTGTTGAAAGGCTGGTAGAAATCTCGTAGAATTTCCTTTGTGAGAGGTAACATAGGACCTAGATTACGATCCTCAGGCCTTCTAGTGTTCGACGCTGGACTCTTGGTAATTACAGCTTCTTGTTTTTCAGTTAGGGCACCTGTAGTTTAAAAAGACAAACTAATATTAACATAGCATGTACAAGTTTTGCTATCCATTTTCCCATACATTTCAAAGATAAACATTACATATATAAGCATGGCACATAACATTAATACTAGACGTTCAAACAAGAAGTGTGGATGGTTTGTACATCTTTTCAATGTCTGAAACAAAAGCCACACAGTTCTCATTTCAGGTAAAGTAAAACTCTACACCACACCCAAGCATATGATCTGGCTCATACTCTCCCCACAGACTCTATTTATAGAAAAAAAATCATGCATGTTAAGGGTTTTAGCCAACTAACACCTCCTGGGAATGGGACATCATCTGTCAGAGAAATCGAAAAGTGTATAATTCCTCCGCCCCCCCCCCACAGCCTCTGTGCATCCTCAAATTGTGACTCTACAGTTTGGGGGACACTGCACAGCAGGGCAGGGGGTACTTCAGGACCCAGTAGGAAAATCCTGTTTCACAAGCAGAAATCTATTTGTGGATGTTGATTTCACCCTAAATATTCATATGCATTAAATGCTTCACATGAAGTATGTCCTTTAGATTCATGAGCTCAAGATCATGGTACAGAAACTAATGTGGTTTCTGACAGCATGGGGAATATGTGTGAGTTCTATTTCTGATGTTGCAAAAAGTAAGGAGAGTAAGGGTCAATGCAGACCGGCACAAAGGGCAGGGCTGGAAGTGGAGTTGGGGCCTGACTCCACCCCGACACCATCCTGATGCCGCGCGCCATCAGGATGCCCTTCTGGTGCAGCGTGCATACACGCTGAACCAAAAGGCCACAAAAAAGCCACAGCACCAGCTGAAAGGGTGGCCTTTTGCCACCCCAAAAAGGAGTGGCATTTTGCCACTCTTTCTGGGGCAGCAAAAATGAGTGTCAGGGCTGCGCCGTGTGCTTGCCACGGCCCCGATCCACTGCTCCCAGGGGTGGCCAAGAGCCGCCTCAAACAGGCTGTCTGTATAGGCCCTTAGAATATGTTTCTTATTCTATCTGCAACTTAGAGTGTGTAAACATTTGACATTTGACATTTCAAAATGTCAAAAAAAGAACTTCAAAATCTACTAATTTAGCATCATGCTTCCCACAAGGGAGCCAGCATGGTGCAGTGGTCTGAATGTTAGACTGCAACTCTGGAGAGCAGGGTTCAAATCCCTGCACAGTCCATTTGGTGACCTTGGCCAAGTCATATTCTCTCAGTCTCAGAGGAAGGCAAAGGCTGGAGAAACTAGAGAAATGCCTGCATTAGGGTCACCATAAGTCAGAAACAACTTGAAGGCACACAAGAACAACAATGATAATATTCCCATAGGTTAATATAACGTTAGTATGTTATTGAAGATAATGTTCCACATTGTTGACAGAGTTTTCAAATATCTAAAAATTAATTGGAGTGACACCCCTCCCCAATTTTATCACTTAGTTGTATTGCATGATAAGCAGTAAAAAGTATTCTTCCTGGTTGATTGTTTACTTAAAACAATTTATGACAATATAAAATAATTAAGAATTCACATTCTCTCTCATATTATTTCTTTTTAACATTATTCCTTGAAGAATCACAATTATTCTGTAATTATTTTTTTAAATTATAGATATTATGACTTACCTGAAGTCATTATTTCACTAATTCACAGATCCAGCATAAAATTATGTAGATACTGAAATAGGCCCTACACCCACATCCTGATATATGAGAGAAGGTTTTTCCCTGTTTAGATTATCACAAAATTACTTTTATATAGAAATAGTGAAGTGTGCAGTTGCAACCTTTGACAATCACTCTGTACTTCTGGTAAAATGTTTGTCTGGAATCCTGTTGCGGAGTTATATCTTCATAACACTTACATCTGTGAGAATTAGAATTTGGTAGTGCTGTAATGTCCATTTCCAGTATAGGGTTGCTGTTACATTACTATGAGGCAGAGCCCATAAAGTGATTGTTGCACAATGTGGCCAGTGCACAACAAGAGTATTGAACAATGGCATGTGCACTGCATTGGTCCTGATGCACATCACTTCAGTCCAGATGTACATCAAGCATTAGTGTGCATTTGGCACTTTTGCTGATGTCCTCTTATGCATCTTTTCAATTCATTAACAGGGTTTCTTAGTGTCTTTGCTATGTAGTTAAATATAAGGAAAGTTATATAACACAGATGGCGATATAGGATTCTCGCAGTTATCTGTGTATTTGTCACTTCTCACATTGTACATGCAATTCTCTGAAACAGGACTGCAAATTAATTGCCTAGAAAAATACATGTAAAATTAACATAAAAGTAATATGAAAAGGAGAGTTATAATTAAATTAAAACATCTATTGATTTATGGACATTTCAAGGTTATATTTAAGTAACCACAAAAAGTTATGTACGGTATGCCTATGTACAGTCTAATTATGTAGTTAATATTAATGTTATTGAACTAAATAAAAACCAGCAAATTATTTCCTGTGTATACATGCCCAACTGGAAAAGTATCTCAGTAGACCAAGCAGACTATGTACAGAAAGGATCTCCCAGTTCATGATTATGAGCAGGATGTGTGTATCTATTTCTGACAGTGAAAAAGGCAAATGAATTGACCAAATGACCAAAGTTAAAGCTCAGAGATATACAAAATTCCAGTTCTTCCTAGCTTAAAACTTCTTTGTCTCTTCTGTGCTGTTATCTGTTATCTTTACAGCCATCCGGAGGACAAATATGAGGGAGAGCAGAAAAAGGAGGATTGGAGCAAAGCCTTAGAAAATATATGAAAGTTTCATTAAGGAGGTGACTGATGACTTTATCTGAGAGAATTTAGAAATTACTTACCTAAATCCAGAAACTGGAACACCATGTGCATAGTAAACTTAACATTGGATGCATGATCCTCCAAGCGTAGAACTAGTATTTGATCTTTATTAAAAACTGTCAGCCAGTCCAGAAGAAAAACAACATACAGACCAACCTGGAGCCTTACCTAAAAGAACAAAAAAACAAAACAAAAGTCATGCTAAATAAACACATACACATATGCAGATTTTAATTATGAAATTTGTTACTAACTGGCAGATAGATATTTTTGTTTAAATAGGTTTTTAAGCAATAGTGTTTGCTCAAGGGCATTTTAATCGGATGAATGATGCATAAATACAATAATTTTGTATTTATTTTTTATTTTGATTATTAGCTGTCTTCAGTATCATTTTAATGAAACAGAGAGATGTAAATGAAATAAACTTACTAAGCAAAAAAAAATCTCCTCTATTTCACTAGAACTATTGGAGCTCACCACAGTCTTAAATATGCACCTTCATGACCTCTATCTGTTTTTTACTCAGCTATCTCCATATACTAGTTACATTATTGACACTGTAGAATCAGTGGTTTAGATCAGTGGTTCCCAAACTTTGGTCTTCTAGGTGTTTTGGACTTCAACTCCCAGAAGCCCCAGCCAGCTTGGCCAACGTTCAGGAATTCTGCAACCTGGAGTCTATAACATCTGGAGGACCAAAGTTTGAGAATCATCATTTTAAACACACAGTACCTCACTTCTGAATTTAAGCACTTTAAAAAAATCAACTTATTTTCTCACTGGAAGAAGAAGAGTAAAAAAAAATAAAATACATGGTTTACCACTGGTAGAAAAAAAATGTTTAAAAAACCCCATAAACTTGACACACAAAATGTGCATCAGGATAATACAGGGGCTCTTTATATCTGCTAGGCCCAACTTATAGATAACAAAATCCATAGCTACTCAAGTCAGATTATATACAATAACAAAGTAAAACAGTGTCCCTTATATAAAATGGCAAAATCAAAGTTGCTATGGGGGGGGGGGGGGAATTAAATATTTTCAAGCCATGCATTTGGAATATGGAAGGCCAACAGTACATTAGATAAAATCAGTGTGGACAATGGTAATTATTAACCCTTACTATGAGATGGTCAAGGAGTGTGGAATGGGCAGCCAAATGCAATGTCTCCTTGGCACCACTGAGTTAAATCCTAAGCTATAAACCTGCTGATTGATAGCTTACAAACAAGTGTGAAGTGGTTATCTACACCACCCCTATTCCAAAAACCACCCTGCCCTTCTATTCACCATTTTATCTGATATGGACCTCCCAGACACCTTCCTACACACTTTATATTGATGTAAATATTGATATTTTCAATAAAGTTGGACATGGTCAAATCAATTGCACAAGTACACAAACCTCACCGTTAAAGAAGGAACCTGGCATGGACTAATTCAGGTTGCAACTGGATTATGACAAAAATTCTTCTCTCCCCCCCCCCCCCCCCCCCCCCACAACACAACTGTAAGACAGAGAGACACTCTTTAATCTAAACATCTTCATACACAAGGGTGAAGCTTCCCATCACATGAACCAACAACAACAATCTGAAGTGGCAAGCCCAGGCACACATTTCTACTGGAGCAAGACACAGGATCAAGCCTGTTCCTGATTTTGCAAGGAATTCTTTCACACATTTTGATGGGATAAAACTGGCTTCATACTCCATTGTCTAAGCATGTAATCAAGTATGAATTTAAATTTACATACTGGCATGGCATTGTTAAGGGTGTTGTTGTATACACAGGCTCTCAGAGAATAATCAGTGAGGCAATTTTCAAAGAGCTGAAGTGATTCTGCTACTTTTTCATGGAAGTCTTCAACTGATTTGTTAGCACTTGCAAAGTAGAGATAATCAGAATACAATCTGTGAATGAAAAAAATATGAGAATAAATGAAAGGTCAAGCCATGTCATCATAATGAAAATAAAGATAATGGATTATTGTCCAGGGAAGAAAAAGGAATATGTTAATTTGTATAGTGAAGGTCTGTTTAGATTACAGCAATTAACTCTGTATTTTTTTCTCCAAAGCAAAGAATCATAATGGCTCAGCTGTCATATGGAGATAGCTTACTTGGGAGTACGTTAAAAAGGCAGCCCCATCCCTGATAAAACTAAGACGAACATTCATATCTAAGCAGATCCTAGTGGAATCTATTTCCCAAAAATAATTAAACAATCTCTTTGTACATAGCAGAACTTCTTCTAATGGATGGGGGGGGGGGGAATCACTGAAAAAACTCCAACAATACTCTAAGATCCAAGCATATCTGCTTTAATGTATCTTTGTTAACATAGTGTTGCCATAGTGTATTTTTGATAACTTATTGTTCTTATCTCTTTAACTATCTGAAAAAGTCTTGCAGGATTCATTTCTTGGTTTCACATTGTTTTCGTCATTCTTGGTGCTGTTACTCATTTTCTTAGCTTCTACCTCCACCTACGTAATGATAACTTCTCAATTATCGCAGTCTCAAAACCTCTCATGTCATCTTTTTATTGTTGAAGTTGCTTATTAGATGCACCTTTCCTCAATTTCCCATCTTCCATTTCCCTTTCCTTCTGTACCTGCAACTATCCTTCCTTCCAGGGCCCTCTATTTCAATCCATCATCTATTCTGGATTCTCTCATGGGCCACCTTTCCTTCACTGTCCCTTCATTTTCTTCCCATCACAACATCTTTAACAAAACAACAAAGGTCTCTCAGATGTGTGCAAATTTTAACCCCAGAGAACTTTAACCCTCAGTCAAAGGCCAAAAGGTAAAGAAATTTGATATATTAATGTAAAATAATCCTGGTTCAGGTCAACAGTTTTTGCTATCTAGATTATAGGTTGGGCAGAAGGAGATTGAAAAACATAGTCAAGTGAATGTTTTGTAGATGTAGTTTGTAGTTGTGTCTTGCCAACGCTATTTAATGACATTATCTAGATCACCGAACCTTAAGACTTTTTTTTAAGGAGTGTGAAACCAATACTTGTTTTTATTTATTCATTGCTGTGGGAGCCCTTGTGAGCTGGGAAATGATATAATGCACCCATGTGATTAGAACATAGTTTTTGTCTTCAGAATGACCCTTCTGGTCTATGCTTTAATACTTGCATTATATATTTACACACCATAAAACAGCATAGTGACTCCAAATACAAGTATGTTCTAATCACATCAGTGCAATAATGATTAAGAGGTAGTTGACCACAGTGTGACATCTTATATTATGCAGGTCTCCAGTCTTCTTAGCAATTCATGGTTGAATATCAATATTTTGAAATACAGCAAATAAGTTATTCCAAACAGGATCATTAAGATTTTTTG